GTCAAATATGCATGAATAAATAAATAAAAAGTTAACTAGGTGAACAAAGGCAAGATCCACTTTTAAAACTTGTTGAGAGCTAAAACTAGTCTTTGCTGCTGCCTCAAAGAGGAGAGGGAGGAGAGGAGGGAGACAGGAGAGGCTGATTCAGGAGCACAGACACACTCACAACTAAATGAACCAAAAATAAATAAACAAGTTTCAGTGTTCTTCATATTGGAAATGGTATGTTATTGGTTATGGCCATGATTTTATGATTATTGAAATGTATACAGTTCTGTTTCATATAGGTGTTTTCATAGATCTAGTCTCTTTATTTCCCCCTCAAAGTGCACCAGATTGATGCATTTAACTCCAACATTTAAAAAAAAAACTTACCGGGGGAGCATGCCCCCGGACCCCCCTATAGGATTTGAGTCCACCCCCACTTAAAATCACATTGATAGCTTCCTAAATACATTTACCATTTTTTTAAATAGTAACCCATGTCCATATGTTTATTTGTGGGTAGTAGATTTAAACTATAGGGCCCTGCCTGTACCTGTTCGCTCTGCCATCGCGTGAAGGGTCTGCTAACAAAGCGACCAACAGAAAGGTTAATGTTAACGTCGCCTCATTATTTTCTCTTGATGTGTAGCACACACACATCAAATGTAGCACAAGATGCATTGATATACACACTGCTAGAATAAAGTGGTCATTTTAAAGTAGTAGTGGGGGTTATCGGATCTCCAAGTCTAATGGATGCATTCATACGAGTACTTGTGCTGTCTACTTGTGAATGGATTTTCCTAACATTAATGGTAATGCCAGGTCTGAACAGGGACATAGAATAAAGCAATTAAACTCGGTATATCAAGAGATTTGTAAATCAGGTCAATATTACAGGTGATTATCGGACACAAATACTGTCATGTCTTCAGATTTGTCTCCCCCTGGAGTGACAATGTGACACATGCAAACTGTATTCAAGATATCACTCATCATATTGGCTTTGGATGTGTGCTAAACATGACATCATGTATGTATGTATGTATGTATGTATGTATGTATGTATGTATGTATGTATGTATGTATGTATGTATGTATGTAAGTACGTACGGAGTAATACTCACTTTTACTCAGGTATTCAATGAGTTGATAGATCTGTGCTATTCCTTCTTCAGTTAGTGGTGCACCAAAAACAATTCCTTTGTCTGAAAGTCATCAGAAACACAGTAAGACTGATTGTATAGTTTGTATGTTGTATTTATTACCTAAAATCACTTTAAATTGTAACATTGTCATCCATTAAATGGAACCAACAATGAATAATCTCAGGCTAACCCATATTGTAAGTTTTAGGAAAATAAGTGGTATTGTCTTAGCTAAAAACTACTTCAACAAATAATAATGATAAACAGATTAATTATAAATTGACTGCTTAATGGATTAATGGACACATCATTTCAGCTCTGGAGGACTATGAAAACACTGCAAGTCTGAAGAAGTGTTATTTAATGACTTTAAACAGGTCTGTGGATAAACAAACAGCACTTATTTTGTTGGTTATTTACCATTCGTCAATGCACACATACTATATCAGTCTAAAACTGCATTTCAAAGAGTGTAAACACAACCGTGTCCTAACCTTTTCGCTTCAGGAAGTTGAAGGAGCGCAGAAAGCCAGAGGCAGACGGCAGCTTGGCCTCTGACTCTCCAGTGAGTTGTGCAAACTCTTCCCCTGGAAGGTCTATGAGTCGGGTGATATTGCTAAGCACCAAATCCGCGAAGGCCTGTGGATGCTCGTGCCTCAGCCTCTCCACAAAGAAGTCCGGGTTAAAGATCACAGACTGGCTTGTGCTTGGCTTCACCTGGCTGATAAACATGGTGCATTTTGTTCCCCTGTTGAAGACAAACAGAGAGGGTGGGTTTGGGCCAGAGGTGGAAGGAGTACTCAGATCTTGTAAAAGTATCAGTACCAGAGTGTAGGAATACTCTGTTACAACCAAAAGTCCTGCATTCAAAATGTTATTTTAGTAAAAGTAGAAAAGTATGAGTATCAAAATATACTTAAAGTACCAAAAGTTAATGTACTCATTATGCATCGGTCCATTTCAGAATAATATATATCATATGTTTTGATTATTATTAGTTATGGCTTAGAGTGTTGTACATTACATTTTTACAGTACTTGAGTAAATCTACTTAGTTACTTTACACCACTGGTTGGGGCTCATTTTAAAGGCTCAACGGTTTGGGTTAGTAAACCTTTTGGGCTAAAATAAATGGGCTCTAAAATGCAGCGGTTAAAACAGAAGGGATGACATGTAACGTAAACAAACATGCATACGAACATACAGCATCTCTTTCTTTTTGTATACTGTGAGCCAGGTTCATCCCCCTGAATATATTTTTGCACATTTCTATACATCCCTACCTCACTCTAAATATCTGCAGTCTTGAATCTTCAAAGTGCAGTTTGTCATATATATTATTATTATTATATTTATTATTATTTATATTTGGTGTTTGAATGCGAAAATAGTTTTGTTAACATATTTTCTTTTTATAATCGTTATATTTTATTGACCTTCTGTTACAACTTCTTTTCATATGTTGTTTGTGTTTGCACCACCATACACCAAAGAAAATGCCTTGTATGTGTAAACGCACCTTGCATAAACCCGATTGTGAATGTTCGTTAATGAAAGCACCAGCTGTTGCTAGGTAAGGTAAGCTAAGCTGGCTACCGCTAACACGTCTGATACTAACTTACTCGACTACTTAATAGTTCACAACAAAGATAATGCATCTGCACTTATCAAGGCAAGAACCCACACTTCACGATGTGAGGTTAGATGTTGATTGTAAGACCTACTACACGAAAAGTTTGTACCTTCGGCTCAGTTTGTGATTGTTGTGAGGATCATTTTCAGTCGCCATCTTCGATTTGAATCTTCCGCTGTTTAATTTTTAGTCCCGCCCACGGCGTTGTGATTGGCAGAAAATATACGCACGTCAAGAGCTCTCATCTACTGTAGATCTATTTTACTCTAGAAAAAAGGAGAAATGTTGTCATTTGCAATTACATACAACATGGACCCTGTTGCACAGCATTCGCACTAAATGTGTGTGATGATTCATGTTTTGTATTAAAAGTCCTGATCTGCAAACTAAAACTCGTAACTAAAACCAAAATGTGGTGGATGAAACAATAAAAGAAGTAAAGTGTTTCCAAATAGTTTTTAAGTAGGCCTACGAATACATTAACCTATCAGTTAGTTACATTCTGCTGGTCATATTTACAGTTAAGACTTGAGCAATACACAGAAAAACTCTTCAACAACATATATTTCAAACTCAACATAGTAACTCACACTACCAGATCTTGTCATCATTTCTTACGAACAGAAGTGTTATCACACTTGATGTCTTTACATCAGTAACATTAATACAATATTTAAAGCAATACACACATGATTGACATCTAAATATGGGTACATCCCACAAATGATATGGACATATTTCAAACAAATTAAACATCATTTTGTGTACACAAAATGGTACAATTATTTGTGTGTTTACTTTTATTTATTGTTGCTAAACCGTGAATTTATTGTTTTGAAAAGCTCAACATTATCTGTATTTATTTTGGTGACATTCATATTTGATGGTTTATCTGTAGGCCTACTGTTTGAGAAACAGGTGGAACCTTTGGCAGGTGAGCGGTGACACCTGGGTTATCCTAGGGGGGACAGTTCCGCCCCTCCTCAGAAGCAATCCAGAGTGACGATCAACCGTGTCCTGTGTCTATTTCATGCTGCTGCACTTTTCTGTTTTCTACAGGTCAGTACATGATGAAAATGATCGATGTTAACTTGTGTAAATGAGATATAATGTTAGAGATGTTTAAGGGAGTGTGTCAGAAAGTTTTGAGCATGTTTGACATAGTAACGGTACTTTAAAAATACTAAACTGTCAGCAACTATAGATGCCGTTTTCGCGTGCTTCAGCGAGATGGGTCTGGAATGGATCATAGACTGTATATATAAATGGACGTAGTGTCCGTGACGTCACCCATAGGATTCTGCAGAGTTGCCGTGAAGCCCTTAGTAGGCGGAGTCGGCCACTAACGGCTCGACTGTGACGTCAGAGTCTAATCCCGCCCGCTCCAGCTTCAGCTGCACCGGCGCCGTGTGTAAATGTCACCTGAGCAAAGGCGCAGGCTGCTGCGCACGGGTGATATGTTTTATTTACCTGAGTGTAGTCTTGCAGGCACAATGCCTTTTTTGTGTGTTTATGAACACTGACAGTGTATTTATGTGAGCTCCGATACCTATACTAATTTGGCTTTTCATTGAATTTTTATAAACTAAGCAGTTCAACTTACAAATGTCATTGTAAAATAATATGTTATATTTGTTAAAGGTATATATATTGATAGAAAGTATTATTTGATAGCTTTATGTGTTTATATTGACTGTTGAATTTCTCCTTGAGTAACAGCTTTGTATAAATTAAGTGTAATTCCCCAGTGTGCAGATTTGACATTTGCCCTTTATACAGTGAGTATTACTGTTAATTGCACTACATATTATTGTAGACCTGCTTCGCTATTGCACACGTGATATTATACAGAATATTTTGAGAAGTATAAAACTGTGTCACATAGCCTACTAGTGAATGATACATGTTTAAGTTGGGAATGATGTTGCACTTGAGATACAGTAATTGACTGTGACATAGACGGATAACTTAAATAGAGAAATGTGATATGTTTGTTAAGTACAGCTATTTGTATGCAACTGTATGTGTACTTTGAATTTTGAATAAGAAGCAATCCAGATGATCAACCGGATCCTGTGTCTATTTCATGCTGCTGCACTTTTCTGTTTTCTACAGATTTATTTATTGTTGCTGTGGTACCCAAGCTTTTGGGACCCGTAACAACTTACATATTTATCTTTAGTATTCTAAAATGATTCATTTATTTTTCGTAGCGTGAAAAATACAATGGTTCAGAGTGCTTGTTGTTGCAGCTCTGGTTGAATGGGGCCGTTCCTCTGAACTGATTTGTAAGTGACTGTAACTGTCTTTTTGTCCATCTTCTCTCTACGGCTTTTAGCATCCATCCTCTCTCTGGCTGTAGTGCTTGCTTCTTCACTCGAACTTCTTTGCCGCCGCCCAAAAAAACTTCCATACTTAAAGTAGCAGCGAGGCCCGAGCCTACCCAATGTTCTCCAGCAGGCCCTGCGAAATGTGTGGGAGGAAATACAGAACAGCAGCGGGTCCAGAGTACCGTTTATATACCACAGTGGAAGCGACAAGTACGTTTTCAAGATTGTGTAGACAGAATGAACAGTTTCCGTCCACACGACTATGTAGACCTGCATCAGCGACGAGGCAATGTCCGGAAAGTTGCAAACAAAAAAGGCCACCACAACTGCACCTGGAAGAAAAAAGAAGGCACAATTGCTCAGCTTGAAGGACATTCAAATAATATTGCAATTCATTACTATTTAATATAATATTTTGGCAAAATGCAGAATATCAAAAACATACCGTAGACAGTTCATGACATGTATAAACATCTTTATCTTTAGGTAACTTCAAGCTGATATCAACAACACTGCACATCTAGTCCAGCATCTCTGGTGCTATCTGACTGTCCAGGAAAAGCAGACACAATCTAAATGTCTCTAGGGTCACAGTGTCATACTGTATGTTTATTATTGGTTGCGAAACTTCAGGATGGTAGTTTTGATCTCATCTTAAATGAAAAAGTGTTGTTTTTGTCAAGAAAAGTGAACCCAAGTCAACTGAAACCAATGCAGAGTTATGTTCAGTTCATTTATTGTCCGGTTAGTAACCAAGAGCACAAGTCATTAAGGAACAAGCACTCAAATCAAGCACTAGGGAGATAGATAACAAGATGTAATCATGTTCAATGGCTCACCCATTAGTTTTAGAGCCCTCTTCTCATTCAAAAGTAGCTTTCCATTCTGATGGCACTGGATGTCTCGTCTTCCTTCTGGAACTGGCCGAGTGAGACCCATGTTTCTCCTCTGAAGTCCGTTCCGCCTCAGATAGAGCAGGATTAACAGATAAAGAGTACAGATGGAGACCAGTGGGATCTGGAGTTGGAGGTTTGCAATGATAAGTGCCTGTGGTTAGTAGATAAACAAGCATATTGTACAGCATTGACTTACCAGAAAGAAGATTACTGCTCTCAGAAGTAAAGCTCCTTTGTAGATGTATGCAGGATCAGGCTCGATCATCTCACACATAGTGGACACATGGATGGCCTCTTCTCGCGTGGCGGCAGTGTAGTCCAAGATGCAGGCACGAGCCTGGTCATAGACCAGAGCAAAGGGAACGGCTGAGACCAGAGAAATTATCCATACTGAAAGAAGGCATGGCAGCCGAGACTTCTGTTGGAAAGAAAGGAGAAGCGAGAAAATAAAATGTGTTCAAATCATGTTGGTTAAATAGACACCATCCTAATGATCCTTAGCTTTTTTTGCTTTTCTGTAATGTTTGAAAAGTGAAAGGTTATCAACCTTCTTGTTAGAGACGGCCCACATGGTGTGGCAAATGGCTGCATAGCGCTCTATGGCGAAGATCATGATAACCCCGCTTGTGGTGGCACAGTACACTTGGCGGATCATGAAGTAGACTTTGCACACTGTCGAGCCCAGGCGCCATGGGTAGTTCTCCCAGTAGTACCGATACAGAGTGATAGGGATGGTCAACAGCTGAAGAATGTCTAAAATGTAAAAAGAAAGTCATTTAAGGTTTTCACATCGATGATAGTTTCTTGAAGACGGCAATAAACCAAAGTTGTGATGTTAAAAGGAATTACTGAAATGCAGGACTGACAACATTCAATTAATTTTGTTAGTCCTAAATGTGAGCACTTTATGTACGATATTAATTCGTTTTAGGTTTAAAAAACATTAGTCCATGCCCAAATTAAATTGATGGCTAAATTATATTCAGTCTACAACCTTGCCATAATTATAATAAAACGGAATGTGAAACATAGAAGCACTTTACTTGGCCTGTGGATGAATGTGATTGTTTCACTCAACGTCCCCCACAGGACAATTAACATGGCTAAAACATTATGTGTATAATTAAATGCAAAAGGCATTTCAATTTAATTTTCATGTTATATTCACATAATTTAATTTGGCAATTAAATCGAAGAAAATGACATTTCCAATACAATACATTGAATTTCATTGTGACGAAGGTTTTCGTCACTATGGACTGACGGCTTCAGGCCGGGTAATATGGCACTTTATTAGCGTGATTGCACAGTACAGTTGAGGTCTGTGGCTGATGATTATGTGCACCTGGTGTCCTGTGTTGTCTCCTCCCCCCTCACCTGTGTCTTGTTGTGCTGATATGAGTGTGTGTATTTAGGCTCTGTTCCCTGTCTGATTGAGAGGCTGGTAGTGTGTGTGAGATCCTGGTGGCGGCAGGATGTGTGCAAGGAGAACAGCAGGATTGAGGCTGTGAACTTTGTGCACATTATTTTAATAAATGCCCACGTCGGTAGTGATGGCGAGATGAAGCCTTATGAAGCTTTGAAGCTTTCCAGCCAATTGGTTCGCAAAAGGGTTCATCTCATGAGGCTTCATCATGGGCTTCATTTGAACACAAACCCCCCTGTTGGTCAAAGTGTGTAAAACAGGCAGATTGGACATCTCAACAGTGTGCTCCATCATCTCATACCGAGTTCCCATTGAGTAAAGCCTTAGAATAACTCTAAACAACGAACATTAAATCATATTTTCATGTTAACAATATTGTATTTATTCCAGTTGAATGATTGTGATTGAAAAGCCTAAGGAGGCTGGTAAACATTGCAAAGAGGGATTTGTATTTCTTAATAATATTCATAAACTTAACCATGTTGTAGCCTGAGAAAGGCTAAACCATATCAAAGAATACATTTATTAACTACATTCTCATTTAGCTGTAGCTTTTATAAACAACAACAAATACGTATTGTTCAGTCGTTGAACCAGGGACCTTGCGGTCATGAGTCAACTGCTTTCCAGCTGAGCCACAGCACACACACTAAAGCTCCCTGAAAACACTGCAAGATATGTATTCCTGTATTTAATGATGTTTTTATTCCTACATTTATTTATGCTTGTATCTATTTATACTTATGACATGTTCCGACCTCTATAAGTGAGGGTCTGAGCTCTCTTGATTCCATCGTGTCACCGGGCCCGGGTACAGGAGGGGTAATATGGTTCTTATTATACATCCATGGGTATTATGAGCGTTGTGGTTCAACCGATCTGAATCGCTTTCTGAAGCAGTCACGTGGTATCGACAGGCAGCGAGGCTTCGTTTGTCATCGATGACGTCACTGGCCCAAAACGATACAAGCCTCGATACATGCTTCACAAAAAGCTTCGGAGATTACTCGACACACGCTCCGAAGCCTCGGCGCAATACGTAACATCACTACACGTCGGGTTATATTTTTGGACGTTCTGCCTCTGCCTCCTTGCTTGGTCTGGGCCGCTCAACGGTCAGCTTCACAATTGGTGTCAGAAGTGGGATTTGACCAAGTAAGGAGATGAAAATTACGAGAGGAAAGAAGAGGGACCAAAGAGAGGAACCGCGGCTGGGGGTGGCTATGCCTGGAACGGACCAGGGGGCCACGGCTGTTGAGGCAGCAGGAGACGAGAGACAAGCAGTAGGAGGCGGACCCGGACCCACGAGGAGTCGACAGAGCCTGGGTCGTGCTGGAGGCAGACCAACGCATTGCAACAGGACAGGACAGCTTCCGGATGGGTGGCGTCACGACATGGTTGACAGCGGCTTCGCTGGCCCCGCTGGAGGTGGCGGAGGAGGCGGCGTTGAGACCGGGTGGCTGACTGGTTGTCCCGAAGCCGAGACTGTGGGGACACTGTGCTTCCTGGGGAGAGGGGGAAGGAAATGTGACGAAGGTTTTCGTCACTATGGACTGACTGCTTCAGGCCGGGTAATATGGCACTTTATTAGCGTGATTGCACAGTACAGTTGAGGTCTGTGGCTGATGATTGTGTGCACCTGGTGTCCTGTGTTGTCTCCTCCCCCCTCACCTGTGTCTTGTTGTGCTGATTTGAGTGTGTGTATTTAGGCTCTGTTCCCTGTCTGATTGAGAGGCTGGTAGTGTGTGTGAGATCCTGGTGGCGGCAGGATGTGTGCAAGGAGAACAGCAGGATTGAGGCTGTGAACTTTGTGCACATTATTTTAATAAATGCCCACGTCGGGTTATATTTTTGGACGTTCTGCCTCTGCCTCCTTGCTTGCTCTGGGCCGCTCAACGGTCAGCTTCACATTCATCATTAACATATAAGTGTCACAACTTTAAAACATTTCAAATTTGTGTATTCAAACGTGACATTTCAAATTGTTTCATTAAAGGTGGGGTAGGTAAGTTTCAGAAACCGGCTCGAGTGCACTAAAATTTGAAAGTACACAGCCGAAAAGAATCCGCCCCTTCCTTACAGAGCACCTCCTCCAACACACATGAACGCGCACATGACGTCAGCAGACTGGTGAAAGTGGCTGCCTGTTGCTGGCGAGTCATTGAAGTACTGCTGCAATGCACGCCCAATGAGGGCACGAGATACATTTGTGCGTGCACGAGATGGAAGGCTGACAGACAGGGCGGCAAACCAATCCGTTTAGCCGGCCCGGCTAAACGGATTGGACGTGCTTTTACAGTATTACGGCTTCCACAGATGAAATTTTTTTATGTATTTTTTGTCAAAGCACTTAAGATATTTATTGCTATCGGGATGTTAAGAGCATTCCATGGAATATAACAAAAAGTGTATCTCGAGCCGGTTTCTCAAACTTACCTACCCCACCTTTAAGTTATAATTTGGCCAAAGACTCTGCATGCAAATTCAAGCTGGCAGTTTTTGAAAGATATTAGTTCAATATTGTCATGAAGCAGTCTACCATGAGGTGTATGATAGCAGCATACCTGATATGACGAGGCTGATAAGGTAGAAACGAATGGCACGGACTCTCATGTGAGGATCCATTAGGAGGGTCAGGATGCTCACACCATTGAATGCCAGCTGTTAAGTGGTAGGGGGACAGCATTTAGTGGTCTAAAGCGAGAAAAAAAACAAGTAGTGTTTCATTTCAAACCTTTATTTAACCAGGTGAATCCCATTGAGATCAACAATCTCTTTTTCAAGAGAGACCTGGTGCAAGTAGGTTCCACATGATGACATAAAACAACAGAAAAACAAAAAGGACATCATACAACATAGATACAGGGATTTACAATTTACATACGACATTTACAGGTACCAACAGTATCAGATTGCATAGCATCTATCCGAGCTTTAAAAACATTTAGTGGAACCAAATTGCCCAGTTTCCATTCTTTTTGCAGACTGTTCCAAGTTAGAGGAGCTGCACACCTAAAAGCTTTCGTCCCTAAGACAGTCCTAGCACTTGGCACATTTAACAAAACCACAGCATGAGATCTCAGGCAATAGCTACTTTCAATTTGCCGTGTGATCAGAGAGCAGATGTAAGATGGTCGTTTACCTAACATCAGGGTCGGCTCTAGAACAAATCAAATGGGGGGGAAATCATTTACCAAGGGGGGGCACATACTGCCGTCAACAACCAACACACAAACACCAACGCAACTTCAATTAAAAAAAACATGCTGTAAAGTTTATTGTCTTTCACACACATTGCAGGGTGTAGTGCTATTGTATAGCGCACCTATGACCTGTGCATACATGCACGGTTGTGGCACGACCACCAAAACAGAAACATATGGACATAGGCCACCATATAAAAAGTGTTTAGTATTTAGTATCCTATCCATGTGAACATGTTTTAGGTGGGGGGTGGACCTAACCTCCTCTAGGAGGGTCCGGGGGCATGCTCCCCCGGGAAGATTATTTTTAAAATATTGAAGTTAAAAGCATCAATCTGGTGCACTTTGAGAGCAACATGAAGATCTATGGATACATCTCTCAACATCCATATGAAACAGAACTGTACACAGATTTACTTTTTCTTTATGGATATTTTACTAATCACTTCCCTTTCAACTGTATTCTTGTGTTACTGTCCTATAGTATTTCATACCCGTTTTTTCATTTATTCTCTTATTCTTTAATGACTATAATGATCATATAAAGGTAGCCTATTCCTCGCAAATACTTGTTTACATAAATGGTCACCAAACCGTTTGAGACCCACTGAGATAACTTACACTAAAGTGAACTATCTAAACACTGAGAGTCCTTACCTCACTGAGCTGACGTTATAAGATCCTCTCAGTCTGACAGGAGAGGACTCTCCTCCACCTTGGTGTAGAAACAGCTCTTTATATCCGTTAGCATAGCTAGCTAACCAGATGCTAACAACAATATTCCACGTTACCGCTCGCGCACTGACAAAATGCGCTCGTGCCACACACAGAGAGCCGAGCTTGAATGAAACACAGAGACCCATGTACTTGTATACTGTACTGTATATCATATTATTTTCGATGGCTTTACTGTATAATCTGTGTAACAGATGGACAGATCGCCACTGGGCTTTCATCTAAACACACAGCCACGTAATGATAACAAAACAAAAGTCGGGGTCATTGGTCAAGCAACACACCAATCAGAGAGCAGCAGTGAGCACACCTCAGGCTGTGTTTTATATAAAGAATAAATAAAGAATACAAATGTGTATTCTTTATTTCTGATGTATTTCACACAAAAAACTTTTGGTGGAAACGTTTTAACTTATATGATTAAAAAAAAAAAAACGGCAAAGTGGCAATAAGGCTTGCCCACCCTGCGTTGGGGGGGCACAGTGACTCATTTGGGGGGGCATGGCCCGCGAATGACCCCCCATGACGCCGACCCTGCCTAACATGGCTTTGTAGATGAACATGTACCAGTGACTGAGCCTCCGTACAGTAAGTGAAGGGTGAAGGCAAACCTTCCCTTGCATACAGGGTACAGTGATGGGTTAATACTTTACAGTTAGTAACAAATCTCAGTGCGCACTGAGATTTGATAGCGCATTGAGATAGATCAGATTACCATAGTCCAGCACAGGTAAAAAGGTCACAGTAACTAGCCTTTTCCTGGACTCAAGCGAGAAACAGGACTTGTTCCTGTAAAAGAAACCTAGCTTCACCCTTAGCTTTCTAAGCAGATTATTGACCTGAAGTTTAAAACGGAGGTAATTATCAAGCCAGATACCAAGGTATTTATAACAGGCAACCACTTCAAGTACTTGTCCTTGCGTAGTAACAATATCCAAAGTGGTCTCCGGTGTATTTTTGGCTTTTGAAAAGAGCATTACCTTGGTTTTATCAACATTTAAAAGAAGCTTAAGCTCAGCGAGCTGAGTCTGAATAATATAAAAAGCTGCCTGCAATTTAACAACAGCCTCCTTAATGGAGGGACCTGCACAATACATCACGGTATCATCAGCATAAAAATGTAAAGTTGCTCCATCCACATTTTGACCTAAACCTTTTGTTGATATAGATGGAGAATAATAATGGACCTAAAACAGAACCTTGGTTTGTTTTCAGCATCAATTAAACTATGAATTGCAATTTAGCTTAGTGCTGTATTTTATCAACACACTTTGTGATGTTATTCAGAAGGTAACATTTGATTGTGTGTGAAGTAAGCCGAGTATATTGACTGTTCTTACTCCAAAGAAGAAGATAATGCTGTAGAAGATGGTCATGGGGACAGCAATTGTCAGCGGCTCCCTTTTGGTGACACTAATATATAGCTGTGGCGGCTCGCCGTGGCTGACATTGCAGCTGAAGAGGGACGAAATGTGATCTGAGAGGTTCATGGTGATGCAGCTGTTGGAGAAAGATGTTAAAGAGAAATAGATTATTATGTATGAAAGTGACAATAGTGCTTCAATTAGCAGGCATTATTCCGGATGGAGGTTATTGTTTTTAATGAGTAGGCTTTTAGATTAGTGCTGCAATATCTGCTTTTTTAAATATTCAACCGGCTGATTTTCCGGTTGCTCTCTCAAACCATCTTATTCATTTTAAGAGGGCTCTTATCAAGGATAAGCTTTGAGAGAAGAGAAGAAGAAGGGACACATTTAAGAATTAACTATTCTAATTCACCCCTTGTTGGTGTACTATGTTTCTAAAATGCAAATAAAATTGTAAATGTATAATAATAATAATAAAAAGCTTGATAAAGTGCACATTACACACTGCTATACAATACACATGCAGTGATTTTAAGCCTTGGATACAAAATAATGTAATGTAGATTTACCCAAATCCTAAAGTAAGCACATCTAAATCTAAAAAAGGTAATTGACACAAAGCAAATCAATCTTAGTTAAATAATAATAGCCAAATGCATATTAAGTGAAAGAGATCGACATGACATTCATGTGCATACAAAAATACCAAAAGAAGATCAGCCATCCTGAATCATGCGACACCTGTTGCATTTTCAGACCAAATGATGTCACTACATGAATGAAATCTAGAGGGAAAGTTAATATCAAGGCAAACATTATGAGAGGGAAAGGCATACAGTGTGCATGGTATTGCCTGCAAATATATTCATCCCTCAAGGATTTCATCAACCTAAACAGGAGTCTGATTCACATCTGAGCGCACACTATCCTACCTGTTACGCTGCAAATATAACCAGTTGTACACAAAAAATAGATTTTCTAGAGGCGTTGATGTAAAGTTTAATAAACCATTCAAAGGTGTATTGGATAAATAAAAATCAAGACTTACCTTCAGTCGATATTGCAGGATGAAGCCCGTCAGCTCTTCTCACATACAGAAAACCCCCTGATGTGTTCATCTCCCTCCTTCCCTTTGACAATATCACTTTCTCTCTGTAACTCTCTCTCCCTCACCTTCTCTCCCTCGCTCCATCCAATTCCCTCTCTCTCCACAATCGATGGAGTCAAATGGTTGGCTGATTCAAAGTTGCTGCTTAAACAGGCAAGACAGTCTAATAGCTTGTGTAGATTTTTTTTTATTATTAACCAAGATATTCCAGAGAACGACTTGTTTCCCCCACCAGCATTGTTGATTCACAGAGAACATTTCTGGATGTTTTCATGCGTATAATTACCAGCGCACTTTCGCACCTGTTCTTCACTAGACTATTTAAGGAAATAGAGGTGCATCACATACACAGTTGCAATACAGAAACATACACATTCTAGTTTTTGTCCCTTAGAAGGACAGTCTTGAGACATACATATATTCTCTTGAGACACATGTAAGCCTTAACAAAGAACCATTGTAAGACAATTCGTATTTACCTTGTGGGTTTTGTTGTATGCCCCTAAATGGGAGGAGGGTGTGAAAAGATCTATGTCAATAAATAGTAGGCATTACAAATACAGACACACAAACAAACATACGTTTAAATAACAGACATTGTGGTTGCCATATTTGACCATTATTAAATAATTTTTTTAATGTATTTTGTGTAATGATTTATCTCAGATGAGAGAGAATCAGATGAGATTTCAAATTGAACCCTTATTCCTATCAACTAAAAATAAACCTACAGCCAGGTGGTAGTTATTTTTGTTGAAAACAACTCATTTGTTAGCAGGCAAAAGAAAGAATCCAGATGAAAAGAAAACCACAATGTATAGGCTTACACATGTATTCATTTAACATGCGAGTATCAATCTTCTCATCTTACTCTCACCTATAGTGCATATAAGTGTATTAAACATCATGTAGATCTATAACTGTAAAGACCCGTTAAACAGTGTTCAAATGACACAGAGGTTAAACAACTGAAGTGGTTTTACTTATCAAAAACAATTACCCGTTATGTGAGAGAATATTTATTTTGTCATATACAATTATTTACATACAGTATATGATTTATTTCTATTGTTTCCTTTAAATACAAATGTAAAATATTTCTTCATATCAAAGCACAATCCAGCTTTTGAAAAAAAAATCAATGGAGTTTCTGTACATTAAAAGTCCAATTTCAAAATCAAAGACTTGTGACGTCTTCTTGCGTTATTCCAGCATCCTTCACCATGGCATAGAAATTGCCCCGTTTTTCAAGCAGGTTGCTCGGAGAATCAAATTCCACAATCTTTCCGGCATCAAGCACCATTACTCTGTGGGAGGGGAGCACAGGCAGTATTGGAAATGAGTTGTACATGTCAGCAGGCAGAGGAGGATTTGAAATAACTTCCTGCTCAAATGTGAAGGAAATGCAATGAGGATAGGAGAGAGGGTTCGCTTATTATTTCAGATAATGATTATAGTCAGTCAGTAGAACACAGCAAAGTACAGCTAATAAAGTAAATCAAGTCTGTTGCATTTTCAGACCAAACCATGCATGATTTGATTTTCATGAATTCTTTATTGCAAAAAATATATTTTCTAAATGTGTTGTTGACTATCGACTCTTGGTTTGCAGATACCCTATTTGTCAGCTCAAATTTGTAATTGCTTACCCCAGCGGTTAACTTGCTAGCTAGTGGATAATGTCTGCTTATAATAATGTTAAACGTTTTTTCATTGCATACGATATGGTAAATACACACTGCCCAAAAACTCCAAGTACTTCCATGTTATACACGTTATTTTGTCCAAATTCAAGTCAGTTCCAACCTCTTTTGCAGACTGTTCAATAAAGAAACCTTTTTTCACTGCATTTAGTATTGTTACATAATACTTAGATACGATATCCTGATTTCCACAGTCTATCGAATGCAATGAATAATTCCTATTCTTACACAACCTCTCACCCCTAACCCGAGTCTATGGTGCTGAAGGCTCTCTGGGCGAAGCCACAAGGGGACTTTGAAGTCTTGCAGAACTTTCATGTCTGCTTATCTGTTTATAATGTATATGTGCACATAGAGGAGGACTTGGATCTCACAGCTGTGGCCATCAGGCTTTTCTTAACAATAGAGAATGCATCCTCAACTGCTGGAACACCTGGCCAATGATATACTGAATATGACTAGGCCATTGTTTGGGCCTAAAATAGAAAAATAAATCGAGACAACACATCCAAATCATATAACTAACTAAGAGGAAGTGCTTGGATTGCTTTATCAAAAACACTAATGAATGCTCTATGTTTTTGTTGTGTTTTTTTGCAAGAGCACTAAAGATAATGTTCAGTTTGTTCTTTAGAACATTTGTTGTGTTTTGGGAGTATACTTGGGAGTCAACCAACAAACTATATAGATATTCTTTAAAAGCCAATTGTGGATTAAATGTGAAAATCAAGACACGAGTGGAGGAAAAGAGAGAGTTTCCATTAACCGGAGCGATATGAGTGCAGAGACGCCTCATCCGGACCCTAGGAGACACTCACCTGGAGCTGTCCATGATGCTCTGCAGGCGGTGGGCGATGGTGAGGACAGTGCAGTGTGAAAACTCCTGACGGATGGTAGTCTGAATCAGGTCGTCTGTCTCCAGGTCAACAGCTGCCGTGGCTTCGTCCAGGATCAAGATACGGGACTTCCTCAGCAGTGCCCGAGCAAGGCAAAGCAGCTGCCTCTGCCCCACACTGACAAGAGAGTGACATGATCAAATGTTTTCAACCAGAAAGGAGAATACACCACAAAAAGACACTTGTTTCTATATGAAATTATAAGTGATTCCTTTAGGGGCGATGGGTAATTACAGAAGCGATGGATATTTAATACAGTAGATCATTTGAAAGAATAAAAGTGTATTAAATATATTGTCTGCATCTTATTAAGCATGAATTGTTGTTTGCCAGCTACAAATGTAAATGTTACAGCCAATCATCAACTCCACGTCAAGCTGTAAATCATTTATCTGTGTGTTGACTTTATGTGTTTGTATTTTTATAACACAAACTAAACATGTTTTCAATTGAAGCAACAAAAAAAACAGAATGTCTCATTTGCTGTATGTGTAATGATTTATAATGTGGAACAGTAACACATTCATTGCCCACCTTAGGTTCTCTCCCCCCTCTGCAACCTCATGCTGTAGTCCTTCCTGCAGCCCTGCTACATAGTTCTTCAGATGGGAGAGCTCCAACACTTTCCAGATCGCCTCATCGCTGAATTTGTCAAATGGGTCCAGGTTCATCCTCAGGGTCCCCGAGAACAACACTGGATCCTGCGCTCACAGGGTTGGATGAGTTAGTGTACCATTGAAAACGCAATTCTGTTTGTGGAATTTGAATTGTTGTTGTGTTGTACCTGTGGTATGATTGTTAGGCTATTTCTGAGGTCATGCAGGCCTATTGTGGAAACATCCACACCATCAATGAGGATACGACCTTCAGCAGCTTCAATAATCCTAAACAGGCAGTTGGTCAGGCTGGATTTCCCGGCTCCTGTGCGACCCACTATACCAATCTGAATGCAGAGAGACAGCACATAGGGTAAAACATAAAGACCGACACATCTTTTCTTCTGTACATTGGAATCACAGTACACCTATTTGTGAGATTGTAACAGAGCATTTTTTTTAAATTATATTTATATAAAGGAATAATGGTAATCAGGATAACGTCTTAAAGTCTTATCTGTGTATGCTTTGTGCTGCAGTCTGTATTGATACTGCCTACAATAAAACCCCGAAGGATGAGAGATCAAGGTTCATTCGAAGAAAAAGAACCAGGGGAAATAAACTGTTAAGAAAAGCAGCTGAGACAAGACCAAACCAAAAAGAATCATCAAGATTGCTTGCCAAGATGAAAGGCACAAATGGGAGGCTTGTAAAACAGATGTTTGTCCTATTTTTCCAAAGAGGCTACAATATAACCTGTCCTTTTTAGTTAGTAGTCAGGGCTAGGTCTAATGTGACAGTTGATTGAAAAATATAAACTGCAACTACATACTCTAACTAAACATATATGTTTACATGTAGTTTACAAGATTATATTTATATTGTTTGAGTACATATTTGATATATTCTTCTTATATTTTGCCCTGAAAAAATAGTTCACACACTATAATATTGTAATGCATTTTACCCACTGTAATGCCCAAACTAAAATAGAATATATTGCTGAGGCACCAGCTAGCGAATCTTGGGCTGGTTAGGCTTTATTTCCATGATCTAATGTCATCAAAGGTACAGTGGACAATGGTTTCGCATTTTCTTCTTTTGCAGCATTTCCTAAAGCTTTTACTTGAACCACTCAGGTAAAAAAACATATGCCTACTGGTGATCCCACCACCGACAGTCTCCAATATACTGGGTACATGATCAATAGGTGCCAAAAACTCCTTCAAAATAAAAGCATAATAAACTATTTGAATTAACTACAATAACTACCCTAAATATACATTACAAATGAACAATAACTCCAAAGAAATACATGTAAATGTGTAACTAATTGATAATATAAAGCAATAAATAGCTCCAACACCAATTCTACCAGTAACCCACCAAAACATCTATTCAGGAGTGTGACACACACACACACACACACACACACACACACACACACACACACACACACCACACACACACACACACACACACACACACACACACACACACACACACACACACACACACACACACACACACACCACACCACACACACACACACACACACACACACACAGACACACACAGACACGGACCTTCTCCATGCTGTTGATGTCACAGGTGATGCCATGCAGCACCAGGTCCAATCCAGGTCTATAACGGACCTTGTAGTTGTCAAACTGAACTCTTCCTGCCTCGGGCCACTTCTCTGGAGGCCGAGTGTCAGTTACCCATTTAGCCTGTAGAAAAAAGAAACAGACGTTATAAGGCTGAGAAATGTAGTTTTGTCGTATCTCTATACCTAACCAAAGCTATGAAAGATTATATGGAATAAAAGGATTAACAACACAATGATATTAACACGCCATGAAGACACTTTCGGTTTGTGAACGAAGATTTAGCTCTTGATGCCACGTACCTCGTTCTCCAGCTCGGTGTATTCACTCACTCTCTCCACGGCCACAATATTGGTTTCCAGCTCCGATGTCATCCTTACGAGCCAGTTAAGGGTCTGGGTCACCTGTAAGGAAAGAAGGGCCATGTGGATTTGTTAGCATTAAAATACCTTGTAATTATTACTGGCATTCAAATCAAAGTCATCATCTGCAGTGTAAGAGTAGAGTCTAATTCACTGACATTAAGGGAGTAGGATATAGACAGGCCAACCAGGCCGCTGTCCAGAGTGTCCCTGGATAATACTGCAAGCAGAGCGGAGAAAAACACCACTAGGTTCCCAAGGAACTCCAGACGGATGGCCAGCCATCTGCAGAGTGAAGAAACACACACAGAGATATAATGATATCATCATTTAAACCATACTGAAAATCCCATAGGTGAGATATTGGCTTTGATTTTTTGATGACTTCAATATTTGACCTGTTTGACACTATCCACGGGTAGACGCTCTTGAGGTTTTCATCAATAGTTTTTGTGTTGTGGCTCAGAAATCTTTCTTGATGGCCGTAGGCTCTTATCACTGACAAACCTGACACTGTCTCACTAAAGTGTGAGTATATAGGAGAGCGAGACACTGAGTCCAGTCGACGTAGCTGCCTTGAAGACGCTACATAGAAACGCTAGGTGAAAAGAGAAAGGAAAAACAGATGAACAGAAGACGTGTAGTTGGATTCTTTTTACGATTGGAAAAAGCCATTTTCACTTTAATGTTCACTGTTCAGGTTCAGCTTACCTGTACAAAGTAGTAGACCAAGGCCAGAGGAATGATGATGATGGTGAAGAAAGGAGTGGCCAGACAGATGACAAACAGTGTCCCCAACACACCCAGCATACACATTAACCAGGAGCGGAAGGACTGTGGAATGGCTTCATCCACTGTGAAAATATCCTTTGGAACAAGCAAAGGGAAAGGTTAGTCTTTATCAAAAGTAACATATTAAAGTGTTTTCAAGTGACCCAAAACAGATGAAAAGCAATCTAATCTCATCTGGTTCCTCAATTTATAATGAACTCCTGTGGAATTGCCATGCTTCCTGTTCGGGGAACATGCAAGTACACTTGAGGCTTTAATATTTTATCTTATGAGCAGGTTTATCAATGTTGTCCTTGTTTTATGCATGAACATAAATACTGAATCGAAGATTGACATTTTGTGTAGCAAAACTGCTTTCGGATGACTTTACATGTATGCAGACTTATTACAATGTTTAGAAAATGTAGGTAGAAAAACCTCAGTGAATAACAAAAAGAAAAGAACGAGAATGAAAAAACGATGAAAAAGGGTAAATGATAAATCCTACCTTTGCAAAGCGGTTGACGACTCTTCCAATGGGTGTGGTGTCATAGAATACCATGGGAACTCGCAGTATGTTGTTAAGCAGCCTCGAATGCAGGATACGTGAGGCAGAGATTGAAGCTTTGGCCAGGAGCAGCGTACTGAAGAACACAAAGAAGCCTGCAACAGAAGAAGAGATCCTCAAACACATGAAAACCAACTCCAGATCCACAGTTGCCAAAATAAAGCATCACATTAGTTCAGGTATAGTTCTGAAGTGTTAACATCATCTTATCCAACGCTTAATTCTTGCCTCTGCATCTGATTGGTAATCAAAGTTTCATCACCAAAATCCAAGAGCAGCGGCACTCTACTGGATACATTTGGAGCAGCTTAGAGAGCACTTCAACAATTACAGACCAATTCATTTTTTGGAAATAATGTTCCTATTTTCCTATTTCCTTTGTTTCTTCAGAGGGTGGCAATTGCAATCACTCTCCAACAGAAAGCAGCATCAAAAAAAAGAAAAAAAGAACCGTCAAAATCTTTTAGAAAGCATGTTATTTCTCTTTGCACAGATTTGTACAATTCAAACTTAAGAGGTCAACCTCAGTCCCTCACAAATCCATATCACAATACAGAAACATTTTAGAAACACATAGTTTTCTTGCTGTCAGACGAATAATGTATTATATTGAGTTTGACACCATGCTACCAGAAGAGAAACAAGTTCCTGCATTTAGCCAGTTACGGTTTTTGTGAACATCAGACATCAACATGTTTTATATTATCATCTGACAAGAGGAAAGTTCAAATCAAACCAAATCAATATATCTTATAGGGGCAATATTTGACATTCAGAGCATGTCTATGATCCAGAGACTGGGCTAGGTGGGACAACATCTGTGCTCCTCAAGGTGTCAAAGCATCCAAATGCAATTTGTCAAAAAATATTTAGTAATATTATGTTGTGTATATTTAATGTGTCCAAAAAACAAAACATGACATCAGATATATTATTCCCATTTGTGCCATGTAAAAGCCCTGCTTGTGTTTACTGAGTTTACTAAGGGAGCCAGTTTGGTGACACATTAGAGTAAGATACTGTATAATTTATAAATAAAAATGATCAAAATATTAGACCCAAAACATGTCAACCTGTGGTTGTTTATTGGAAGAAAAAGCTCCCAATTACAATGAACTTCTGCATTATTATGCCTGTCAGCATTTCTTAGTTCAAGCTCTTCTGTTCTGTCTCTGAAGAAAAGTACATTTTCATTTTGGACGAATTACTGTGAATTGCTTTAAACTAAACTACAATCTGGCAATTTGCATGGAAAGGATGGAAGGCTTACAAAAGGCTTACGTTTTCCAATGTCTGTGTTATAAGTACGGCATATCAGCATGACCATAGCTCACTTATAACCCTATTGTATCTTGTTTCTTTATTGTGTACACAAACTGCAATGTAAAAAGGACATGTTGTGCTTTTAGTTAAGATTAATGTTGAGCTAAATAGGTAGTGTAACTGTTAAGCTCCACTACTATATTTCCAAACTCAAATGATTAACTTCTCATATCTCTCATACAACTCTCTTGAGTTGTCAGATGATGTAAACAGCCACAGGTCCTAAAACAAATGTCCAATCTCTACCATTGACCCCATATCACATGTGTTCAGCATAAAAGCTGAGCTAATAAAGTCCTGGCTCTTGCTCCATAGTGAAGACTAAAAGGTGAATGAACTGACTTCCCATCTATTCTTTGAATACATTGTGATAGAAATGTAGAAACTCAATGTGTGGAGAGTCTTTTACTGCCACTAATTAATTTGACATGGATCTGAAAATATTTGCATAATAAAGAAAATGTGTTTAACGATGGTTATGTCAATTTGTAACCCTAGTTCTATATGAACAGACAGAGTTCTATTGGACTCTTTGGGTAATAATATTCACCAATTACCCGCAGGCACAGAATTCGCATTACATAAAGGTAACTGTCCAATCAAGACGAGCCTACCAGACTGTGTGCGTCAGCGACATATAAGGGAATCAGCAGCTCTGGTCTAAGTGAAAAGTATTACCAAAGAGTAGAGGGCGGAGCCTGTGTCATCAGGACTGTCAGTTACCTTGAGCCACTCCCAGAACTCCAAACACTCCCACCCTGGTGTCCCTCTTCCAACTTGGGTATGTCATGTTGTAGTAGTCCACTGCGTCATTGGTCCAGTCACTCAGCCACAAGTTTTGACCAATGAAAGCAATGTTCTGTAATAAGTAAACCAGGAAGACGATGACGGTATATCCCCAGCCCATGGCATGCAGGTACTGGAGGAATACTGAGAACTTGACCTGGTTAAAAGAGAGGACAAAGGCTCAGAAAAAGGGTTCTTAATATGTCCATTAGTGGTGTTGGAAAAAGAACGAGACAAAAAACGTATATTACCTGTCCTGTTTCCATCGTTTCCTTCTCAATTAGTCTCTGGCCTTTGTTTGATTTGTCGGCTACTTCTGGTTCTTTTATAGAGCTTTGTCTTCTTAGTCTGACACTAGAAAAAAGATGGAAAAAGACCACATTATATTCCAGGATGAAAATATAGTTGGTAGAAGCTTAAAATGTTGATCTTGTATGCTGTGCATGAAAGCAAGAGATGCTATATTAGGTTTTGTTACAGAGGTCAGTTGCCCCCAAAAAGAAACCCACTGCCCCTACATTAATCCTCACACACACTGTTTTTCGATGTTGTTACCCAGCACTTCATGGTGTTCTAACCTGCCAATGCGCTTGCTGCGGCGGATACTGTTTTCTCTCTTCAGTGTAAGAGAAACGGTGTCCTCCAAAGGAGAGTCGGGTTGAAGATCTTCAGTTTCAGGTATGAGCTCCACGTCTACAGTCTCCTGGAAACCACCTACATACATTTGTTCACAATAGCATACATAGTGTCATTAGTGAGGCTTAAAATAGAACATGCTGATATTTTACCAACTGTGATACTCGTGCTAAACGCCACAGAAGAGGTTATTATGTTTATAACAGCAATTATATGTACCCACACTACTGATCAACAATGATGCACAGCACAACAGGGGGCTGGATGTTATTACCGGGGGACAATTAATTCGAACCAACAATAGTAATAATGTAATACAAATAATAATAATTGTATATCATAGCTCACTCCGGTACAGTAAGAAAATATTGTACAATGCCGCGGTTATATTTAAACGCGGGTAGTAATTGTTTAGCGTTGTGCAACAACTCAAACACAACAAATTACGATAATTGACATGAACAAATGAAATGCATACAACGTTTATTACACAAAGCGCAAACAAACAAACAAAATCAAAATCAGGGTTACTACACAAAGTATCAGTGGATTTACTAAATACTTTTGCTGTCAGCTAAAACAATGGTAATACAGAGACACCAACTGTATATGCTGTCCTAAGACCAGTTTCTTAACCATGGCTCTTTGTTTTGAATAATGTCCCATCCCCAGAGCCTCCCTCTGCTCATTCTACAACAAAATAGGAGTATTTTGTTTTTCTTACATAAAAAATGCAGCTAGAAGAAGGCTGTGATTACCTGGCTCTGAAGTGGTACCTGGCTCTGAAGTGGTCCGATTTCTTTGCTCTTTGGCATATGTGTCTAGAAATTCAGAAAACGCTCCCTTGCTGGCACGAAGGCTTTTATAGGATCCAACCTCGGATACCACTCCATCCACCAACACCACTATTTCATCTACATATGGCAGGAAGCTCACTCCATGAGTCACCAGGATGCGAGTCTGTAAAAGTGAAGAAACACTTGGTCTCAACTGTGACATCAATATTAATTTCAAACAGTAAAGAAATGGAAAAATAAATGGTCTATAAAATGCCTGTATATTCCCTTCCGCATTTATATAATACCTATATATGTTATATATATCACATGTTACTTTGACTTATATTGAAGTTGACCTTTCTCCCTGAAGGGCTGTCAACTCAACACAACAGAAATCAAATTAATTCCAGATATAAAAGGGTTGAGTGTTGTCTAAAAGCAAACCAAAGCTGAACCCATTTACTGTACATGTTTTAGTATATTTTATTATAATAAAAGCTTTATATACTGTATATATCAATAGCTACAGTACAGTTTAAACCCGTTGGAGTATATCACTTTTACGCTCTGTTTAGAAACTATGTTATAAATCATTGTCCCTTTCAATTAAACTAAAATTCAAAGAAAAGTTATCATAAAGGTAAAACATTCATTACTGACTAACGCATAAATGTAGGCTTAGCACAAACCTTGTCTTTTAGGAGTCCATTGGGTCCAATCACTTGATGAAAGAGATGCTTTCCTACATGAGAGTCCACAGCAGACAAGGGATCATCTAATAAATAAATATCAGCCTGACTGTAAGCTGCCCTGGCCAAACTCACACGCTGCTTCTGACCACCTGAGAGATTAATGCCCTGAGAGGAGAGGAGAAGAGAGGAGAGGAGAGGAGAGGAGGCTAGGAGAAGGAGA